TAACGAAGCTTGATCTTGTATAATATAATTTGGTAGTCTGACGAAAGAAAGTAAAGCTCAATGATACGAATAAAAAGGCACTAATATTGCACAATGACTTATGGATGCAAATGATCACTTTTAGCAGTATAATATTCTGTTTATTTGCTAAACGAATATTGAGTTTTTTTTTTTTTGAGGATACATATTTGGCAGTTTTTTTTTTTTTTGTTTTTAAAGACATTACAAAGTGCTTTCTTCACAGTTTTATACTGAACTATGACTCATACAACAAATTATTTATCTACAATAAAAAAAAACTAAATCTCCCTAACAGTCAAAAGGTAGAAAACTTCTGAGAAAAAAAAAAACCAAACCATTTCAAAAACTACTTTTCACCATATTGGATAAAAAAAGTGTGTTTTGAGTGTTACTTGAAAACGATGACAACAAAAATTTATTTCAACACTGATTGAGGAACATTTTGTAGAAGCTAGTGTACGCTTTTAATAAATTTTAAAAAGAAGGAAATCTACACTAATCTTGATCAAAAATTACATATACTGTAACTTATAAACTTTTTTTGACATGCATCACTTTGAAAAATAATCAGTTCGTGTCACTACTGCAACAAACATGTGAAACATCTGTAATCAGTGAAAGAAGCCACAAAAAGATTTTGACGTCAATGTAGTGATAAAACAGGAATGCACGAATTTTCATAGACAACTTCAGCTAGTATCAGCGTCGATTATTCAGTTCTACTGCCATTTCTTAGAAACTGTCGTTTAAGAAGTCACTGGTTATAAAAAAAAAAAAAAATATTTTCTCTTATCATTTATAAAAACAAATTTTTTTAATTTTATTAGACTTTCATCAAATTGGGTCTAAACGTCTAACCATAGATTTCTTTAAATCAAAAATAAGTAAGTGGGACCGATTAAAATATAATTTTGTTTCCTATAAACGTAGCAACAAGAGAGCAAAAAAAAAATTGGTAAGCCGAGCAAATTTTTAAGCTACTTTAAGCCAACAGTAGTGTTCTGTTACCTCAAAAGGGTAACAAAAGTAGCACTGTAACGCTTTGATAATTTTAGAATATAAATTAATGTCTAACAGTACTATAGCCAGCAAGATAGCAAACAGCATTGTCTGAAATAAGTTATTTCTGAATATTCAAATTTTTTCAAACCTAATTACTAAGCTTTAAATGGAACGGTAAACGACGGCTGTCTAGTTACCCATCTTCCAGTCTTGTTCTTTCTCAAAGATCAAAGAACAAATAACAATAGTTATTTTTAGAGCTTATATGTACAAAATTTTGCGTCTGGAATTGTCATTTCGACGGTTACCACAGAATTATAATTTTGATATATGTGTGAACTTCTCCATTCGCTAAATCGCCGTCAATGAACCCAAAAGTCGGCAAATCTTGTAAAGACTAGCGCATTAACATTTGTTGTAGTAATCTTGCCTGTTATATCAAGAAATAATGTAAGTTTTACTCTTATCATTAGCTCGTTACTTCAGCTTTGCTTGTACCGCTATCCATTGAAAGAGCTAATGTAATTTTTCGACGCAAGAAATAAAAAAATAAATAAGCATTTATTTTCAGAAATATGTATCATAAAATAATTTATTTTCACAAAAAACAATATAAAACATAGAAACTGTTGCCATTTTATTGTTTAACAATTCATATGACGTCAATAAGGCACATCTTCCTCTGTGTCACAGTGCCATTTTTCTATAGCAAAAAGTGTTTCGTTCCTCTTTAGAACACATAAACTTGCTTTGAAGAATAAGAAGTAGATGCCACTTGGTCATGATAGACTTTACTGACAAAAGCAACATTCTCCTTTAAGCTGTGATTATACTGTAGTAATGTGCCAGTATTATCTTTTAAAGAAATATTACAAAAGTATACTTTCGTGATGGTGCAGAATTTTGATACACCTTTTTAATACATCTATAAATATTACCTGAAAACCGCAGACGGGCAAGCGATGCTTGCTTTATTAAATATGCTTTAACTGTTGACGGCTACTTTACGTCAGCGTTCGCGAATATGAACAGTTTTGAGTGGAATAATTGTCTGCTATAAATTGCTATAAAAAGTGTATGACTAAATGTCTACAAATGTAGCAGATTAATTTCGCAGTTTTTATACAGAAGTTCTATCTAGAACGCAAATTACTTTCAGAATTACAACAGTGGCGTTGTGTATCTAAAGCTTTCCAAATAATCAATTACCAAAAGAGCAAAAATGGCTTCTTAAGTTGGTTAAAAGCACTATGCTACTCAAAGAAGGCATTTTCTGTCAGCAATTATTTATCGCTCTGATAATCCTCAATTTATCGTCCCGATAAAGTAGATCAAGTTTCACATTTTGA